TACATGCCCATCAAACTCTAAGTCATCATTTCCCTCAGTATCCCCACTACCCTCACTGTACTCCAAATCATCAAAGTCCTCATCACCTTCAACTACAGTTTCACCATCCCCAGCTCCCTCATCACCTATCACCCAAACCTAAATTTGTTTGGGAAACTGGCCACTGTCACATATTGCCCAACAATCACTATCATTGTTTAATTCAAATAAGACCCCACTAGTAGGTGTGAAGTATTTAAATTTATCTAACATGTTATATCCCAATTCCTCAACTGTTTCCCTTAAAGTTATCATCCCCCACAAATCAATATCCAAATTATAAGACTGAGTAGCCCCTCCAACATATCCTATTCCATTCTTTTTTAGGCTACCTCCATGTCTTAACTTCAGACTAAAGGTATCTGTATTATTTCCAAACACATAAACAAAGCAAAAAAAAAAAAAAAAAAAAAATTATCAAGCTGAATTATTGGTTTTTAACATATTCTAACAAAAAGGGGGGGAAAAAACACAGTTTACCCAGCACCAGCAGTGGTCCCCAGAACATAACTTTCTAATAAAAACCCTACAATAACATGTTGTCCCTGTTTATATGCATATATACAATTCCAAGTGCATAAGTTAAAGCATCTACCCCACAGAATTGAACATAATTTCATAAGAATAGCAGACAACAAAGGAAAATGACAACCCCACACATAAAAGTCGTGTACAAGCAATGGCAAACAACAAATGACAATGACAAATACTTAAATGGCATTAACATGCTTTACCTAGGTCACTTTATTCATTGTATACACATACAACTCAGAATATGTAAAAATCGACTTTTACCTAAGTTTTTGTTGTCCATCGTTCTTGCTTCCCCCCGTCAGTAGTCGTTCATTTAGCTTTCCAATTTCATCAATATTGGTTGGGGTTTTCGTCGAAGAATGTTTGACAATCGATGCGTCGTTGATTCGATTGTCAAACAGGTTGGAATTTGGCTGGGATTTAGGTTTGATTAAAGAGAGGGTTTTACGTTTGATTTACTGATTTCTCTAGTATACAATCGGCTGTTTTAGGGAACAAATGGTAAAGTAGAAGAGAAACAAAAGAAAATAACGAAAATGCCCCTCCAATTCACAGCCAAATGACGGAAAGTCTAACGTGGACTAAAATTGGAACGATGTTAATAACTGTGGGTGTAATGTGGCAAAAAACATTATGGTGGACTAAAATTGGAAAGACCCCAATAACAGCAGGACCAAAAATGGAATTCACTCTTTGATTTTAATTGGGAAATATCTTCAGTTAAATTAGAATTGAAGAAGAGTTATATTATAATTGTGGATTAATTTAACCCATTGAGTCACCGTGATTTACATCCTCCCACATGCTCTGTCGGGTCGGAGTGTGAGGGGCCCTTAGGGTTGGGGATTCAGCTTTTTGGGGTAAGAATTGAAGAAGAGTTTTAACAAAAGTATACTGCAAAGTCTACTACTTGTTAAAACTCTAATACAAAGTCTATTGCTTGTTAAAAGTCTACTTGTTAAAAGTCTACTGCAAAGTCTATTTGCTGCATGTTATATATTTACTGCAGAGGCCAATAACATGATATACTACTATTAAACAGAGAAAATAACTCAGCTATATATATAATATTCCAATCAAGAACAGTTATATTATTTTTTGAAAGCTACTGGTTCTATTACATTATAATATCAAGAACAGTTATATTATAATTGTGGATTAATTTAAATGTTTAAATTTAAATTAAGTTTATTATCCTTTGAAAGTTGGAGTTTATAACGTAACCTCCATGAAAACATTCAGGTAATTTCTCCTCAGAGTTTGGATATAAATATATGTAATATATATGGAGTATGCATGAACATGAATTCTCAGACAAACATACGTGATGTATATGAAAAGGGTCAAACAAGAAGATCTGAGAGAGGTCTGAGATGAAATGTCTGACACAGATAAAACTCTAGGACTGAAGTTTGAAAGATGAAAGGTTAATGTATGATAGATGAAAAGTTTATTTTATAACCGCCATATTTTCCTGTGTTATTTGCACTAACATTTGAAAATATATCTTTAGATAGAATTCTCAATACACAATTTAAAAAGAAAATTCTTGGCAGAGAACTTGAGATTTCTTTATATCTTCTTGTATCTCATAAGTCTTAATCGGGTATTCTTGTTGCTTGTAAAGAAAAATTAAAGACCTATAGGAAAGTGAGTACACACCTGAAGATGTCAAATAATCTAATTTTTAGTTCCCTTATTTTTCTGTATTTTATGTTGTATCTCAAAAATATTATAGAATACAAGCATTTTTTCCTACAAAACTCTTGGTCATGAGTTTGAACTCCTTAATTAAAATAATTTTTTTTATGAACTAAATTTGATAAAATTTAGTTTCCAGAGATAATTAATTAATGGAATAAGGGTCAAATTAGCCACTGAACGTAACGCGAAAGTGCAATCAGACCACTGAACTAAAAAAAAATGCAATTAACCCACTCAAAGCCTCAAATTTCTTCAATTTCACCGGATAGCCGGTTTCTACCTCTTACTCCCGGTTGATTGCTGACCTGGACTAATTACATGGCAATATTTATTCTTTTCCGTTATTTTTCTTTGTTTTCCTTTCTTCCTCCTCCGCTCTCTTCTTTCTTCTGCTTGTTAATCCAACCGCCGCTGTGACCCGCCGCCGCTCGTGGTACTGCTTCGTCGAGCCGCCTCACAGCCCTGACAATCCACTACTACTTCAGCTGCTTTCTCTCACAAGACCAAATCCCCACCTTCTGATCCATTTCCCATTCCTTCTCCGCCTCCCCCCTCTCTCACAAACCCAACACTAACACTCTTGTTACTCGAAGTACCCGCCGGATCCTTTCCCCGATCCGGGTGTCTCCCAATCCTCCACTCCACCTGCCATTCCTCCCATTCCGCCGCTGAGCTTTCTGCATCGCCCTCGTCGCTCCGCCGCGAGGTTTCTAATGCTAGTGCCGTGATGGAGGAGTGCGGTCCCGAGGGAATCTTCGACGCGAGGTTGAATCTCAAGGGAGTAATGGGAGTGCCTTGGTGGTGGAGCTCTCCGCCGAGGCTCTCACTTCTAACAACTTGGTATTTGCCGACTTACTTGCGGATTATCGGAAAACACTGTGTGTTCCCACCCTAAGCTTTTTGTTAGAAATACCCACAAGTTTTTAGCTGTGTATTTGCTGACTTGATGCAGAATGCTATGTTCTTTTGGAAATTTTGGTTATATGTTAAGTGTTATGGTTGTACTTTCCTTTGCATTTTTGGGTTTTGAAATCTCTGAGTTTGATAGAACAAGACTTGGGGTTTTTGCATCATTTGGGTTCTTGGAGAAGTATGGTGGTGATGATGTCGATGGGTTTGTTGTTGGGGTTAGGTATAATCACGAAGATGTTGATGACCTGCTGGTGGCCACTGCTGCATGTTGATGAGCGAGAGGGAACGAAGACCAGAGGTCGCCGGATCTTCTTGTTGCTGCTGTCGTTCGGCGCTGCTGTTGCTAGTTCGTTGGAGCATCACCATAGGTCGCCGCCGTCCGCACAATACATGATGACGACCGAAAAAGTTTGCTTCACTGTGTGTACGCCGAGAAACCCCCATGCGTCAAAGATCGGTCTCCAAAGCCAAAGTCAAAAACCACCTTGACGGCCGTCGGAGAAGGAATCACGCCGCCCCACGCCCAAACTCTGTAAGCAGGAAGAAAGAAGAACAAAAGAAAATAAAGAAAAATAATAAATATTGCCATGTAGACATCCAGGTCAGCAATCAACCGGGAGGAATGGGTGAAAACCAGCTATTCAGTGAAATTGAAGACATTTAGGGCGTTGAGTGGGGTAATTGCACATTTTTTTAGTTCAGTGGTCTGATTGCACTTTCACGCTACGTTCAGTGGCTAATTTGACCCTTATTCCTTAATTAATAAATTAGTACTTAACAGGTTCCAATAATTAGGATATTAACTTTATGGTAAGTGGTGAAACACAAGTAATCCATAACCAATCACGTGTCCCTTACCCTTCTTTTTTTTTTTTTTTTTTTTTTTTTTGAACCTGAGACCTCTCATTTGAAGGACCACGGCTATACCGTTCGACCACAAAGCCTTTGGCGAGTTATATCTTCCTTTATTCTTTGTTTTATTAGAAAGCGCATAACCGTTATTCAAAAGTGTGTACTGTGTGAAACGTGTCCTTGCGGCTCTAGTTTGTAAAAGACCACAAAAAAAGTAAAACTGACCTAGGTTGTCTATAGTTGACTAAATTAAACCAAGAAGATCAATAAACAGTTTCCACATGGAGTCAAATTTAAAACATTATGATTGTAAAGTTAATTGTCCAACTAACTCAGTTGGGGTTAAAAAACAAGATGATGAGGTAAAGATTCCTTTCATAATCTTGACAATGCTAAGTAGAAAGTATAAAAATGTAATATTGCATCTCATTACTAAAAGGTCATTTTGCATGCTTTTTTGGTTATGCGTCTAACTTTACTAGAATGTCATAATCTATAGTCCCTCATTGTAAGATAACTAGTTCGCATTTGTTTAGAGATATTGTATTTGATAATATATATATATATATATATATATATGAAAAAGTTCAAATGCGGCGACATTGCGCCCTCCTGTGCGATCGTGTGGCGGTTTTCAGAATACACCAACAATGTTAACAATATGCACCAATAGTGTAAGAGAAACACACAACAATGAAATGTAAAAATACACAGCACACAAAAAAAAAAAAAAAAAAAAAAAATACACCATATAACTCTCTACCACTAATGGTGTACTTCCGAACACTATATGGTGCTTTTAGTCATACCTAATGGTGTGTTGTTGGTGATGCGGTCCTAATTTGTGTGTCTTTTTTGTGGTGCACTTCCTGACGTTGATGGTGTATACCTTGCTTAACTATTGGTGTATTCTGAAAACCGTCGCACAACTGCACGGGAAGGGGTCGCCCCACCTGAACTCGTCTCTCTCTCTATCTATCTCTCTCTCTCTCTCTCTCTCTCTCTCTCTCTATATATATATATATATATATATATATATATATATATATATATATATATTTTTTTTTTTTTTTTTTGGATCCACACAATTTCCAACCGTAGATGCAATCCAAATCAACAGCCCAAATTGAATTTTAATTAAAAACATGCGATGGTATATTTGTAATTTTTAGTAAGCCAGCTTGTCTTGGTGGTATATTTGTAATTTTGAGTAAGTCAGATTGTCTTTTGTATTTGAGTGCACATTTTTCTTCTTCGGGTGCACATTTTTCATTCTTCAAGTGCATATTTCTCTTCTTCAAGTGCATCATTTTTGTTTCAGTTCTTAGTTTCTCCTTTGAGTGCACATCTTTGTGTCTTTGAGTGCAAAAATTTGGTCTTCAAGTGCATGTTTTACTTTCTAAGAGTGAACAATTAATTTTCTTCTAATTTTCCTTTTAGTATCTTTTTTCCCCTTCCTTCTAGTGATCCTCTATATGCTTTCAAGTGCTCAATTTCATGCCTACAAGTGCATGTGTGTCTTACTATTGTGTTAAAAATAATAATAATAATAATAATAATAATAATAATAATAATAATAACAATAACAATAACAATAACAATAACAATAACAATAACAATAACAATAACAATAACAGTAACAGTAACAGTAACAGTAACAATAACAATAACAATAACAATAACAATAATAATAATAATAATAATAATAATAATAATAATAATAATAATAATAATAATAATAATAATAATGCTTAGCATTCCATTGAATCATTTTTTCCCCTTCTAGCGCATGTTTTTAGCCTTCAAGTGCACGTTTTGTAGCTTTCAAGTGCATGTTTTCCTTTCTAAGATTGCACAATTAATTTCTTTCGAATCTTAATTTTCTTTTTAGTGTCCTTTTTTTTTTCTCTCTCCCTTGCCTTCTAGTGATCCTCTTTATGCCTTCAAGTGCTCAATTTAATGCCTACAAGTGTATGTGTGTCTTATTATTGTGTAAAATTATACTTAGCATTCAAGTGAACCCTTTTTTTTTCCTTCAGTGCAGATTTTTTGCCTTCAAGTGCACATTTTTATGCCTTCAAGTGCACGTTTCTTTGCCTTCAACTGTACAATTCTGAGTAGTATTTGTCATATATTGTGTATTTTTTTCAATAACATATAACTAAATTTCTAATGAAATTTGTGAGATTTACAAACAGTTTGTATGGGTAATTAGTTTAATAACACTTAAGTTGAATAACCTCCCTTTTTGGAACTATAAATTGCATCAATTGCACATCTATTTGCCTTTGAGTGTAAATTTTTTAACTTCAAGTGCACATTTTTGTACCTTCAAGTGCATGGTTTTGAGCTTTCAAGTACACATTTCATATATAATTGATTTTAAGAGAGTCATTAATCATAGTGTAAATCTTATCTCACAGCATTTTTGCAACGGAAGTGTTATGCGCACCTGATCCTAAACCTATATATATATATATATATATATATATATATATAGACACACACACACACACACACACACACACACACACACACACACACATATATATATATATATATATATATATATATATATATAGGGACGCACTCAGGTGCGAATAAGTGCCCAGGAAGGAAATGCGAACGAATCAGCGCGTGACATGTGTCCAGATCTAATAACTTAAAAAAAACGCGGTGGCATTTTCGTAAATAATTGAACATCGAAGTGCAAGTAAAATCTCTTATAAGTGCACCTATTTTCACCTATAAGTGCATGTAATTTTGCCTTGTTAGCATTCACTTTCCGCAACCATTCATGCACCTGGGTGTGCTTATAACTATATGTGCAACTATTTATAACTATAGGTGCAACTACTTATAACTATTTGTGCACCTACTTTCACCTATAAGTGCATGTAATTTTGTCTTGTTAACATTCATTGATCTGAGTTCAGCGGGTAGTAATACTCCTGAAAACCACTCGCAAACATTCATACACCTAGATGCAACTACTTATACCTATGTGTGCAACTACTTAGAATTATAGGTGCAACTACTTAGAACTATAAGTGCAACTAAGTATTGATGCTCAGTGTAAATTTTTACTTGCACCTATAATACATTTTACATGCACTTGTAATACATTTTACTTGCACTTCGATGTTCAATTATTTACGAAAATGCCACCGCATTTTTTTAAAAAATCAGTATTTCTCATCCATTAGATCTGGACACGTGGACGAATAGAATCCATTCCTATTTCGCGCCTGGGCGAGCCGTTCGCACCCGAATGCAACTATATATATATATATATATATATATATATATATATATATATATATATATATATATATATATATATATATATATGTGTGTGTATGAGTTAATTAATTACCGAAATGGTCCATTGACTATAGCGAAATTACTAATTTGGTCCTTGACTTTTTTTGACCAATTAAGTCCCTCAATTTTAAAAATCTTAACCAATTTGGTCCTCCGTTTGTTTTACCGTTAGACATCCGTTAACTCGAGTTTAAATTGGTAATTTTGTTGTAGTTAAGAGACAATTTTAGTAATTAACTTTTCGGAGAAAATGGTGCATGTGATGACAGAAATGGTCCCTTGACTATAGCAAAATTACCAATTTGGTATCTAGTTAATGGATATTTAACGGCAAAACAAACGGAGAACCAAATTGACTAAGATTTTTAAAGTTGAGGAACTTAATTGGTAAAAAAAAAAATAGTCAATGACCAAATTAGTAATTTCACTATAGTCAAATAACTATTTCGGTAATTAACTCTATATATATATATATATATATATATATATATATATATATATATATATATATATATATATATATATATATATTCACCGTTTTGAAATCATTATGTAATAAGTATATTGTATATATTATTATAAATTAACCATACATTGCTAATTTATCAAATATTTTTATAAAAAATGCTAAATAATATATGATAACTCAATAGTCGTAGTTGGAAATAGTCGATAAGTGGACGATTAATATAATTACAAGGTCACAAAGTTCAACTATTACATAAAGTTTGTACATGCTTGTCATGTTAAATAATTAAAAAGTTTTTAACTAAACTTTTTCCTGAGTAAGAGTCAAACTCTACAAGCATGACATAAGTCGAATTTAGATCAGTTTCACTGTGTAATGATATTGTATGTCACATATGCCAAAAAAAAAAAATAATAAATAAATAAAATTACTCCGTATACATTAATCAAAATAGTCAATAAATTATATTATCAACTAACACGATTCAGTATTGACTAATTGTTAAACACCCAACATGGTTTCAACGTGTACATGCATGGTAAATATTTACACTAAATTTATTATTTGGTTGGTTAGTGGAATGTACATGTACAGCTAGATGCTCACTTTTCCCAAGCTGCATCTCTCACCATCCGCATGATTAGATTTTCTTGGTCACATTTAGTATCCTAGAAGGTCAGACTAATATATATACATATATATATATATATATATATATATATATATATATATATATATATATGTGTGTGTGTGTGTGTGTGTGGGGGGGGGGGGGGGGTGGGGAGAGAGAGAGAGAGAGTCAGGTTCCAGTGAAAACAAGACTTCTCGTGCGGACGGTGCGAATTGCACCATTAGGTTGGCATATATGCACCATAGTGTATGAAAAAATATCATTATGTGTGGTGTATATTTTGGTGTGTGGTGTATTTTGTGGCATTTCATTCTGGTGCATTTTCGAACACTATGTGGTGCATTTATGCATACCTAATGGTGTAATCTGCACCGTACGCACGGGAAGTCCTATTTTCATTTGAACCAATATATATATATATATGTATGTATGTTTGTATGTATATATGCATCCATGTCTTAACGTGCGGTCGGTGCGAACGCACCATTAATTATGTAAAAACGCACAACAATGAAATGTACCAATGCACCACAAAATGCACCACACAGCCAAAAAATGCATCATACCTCCCCACACCTAATTATGCGTTTTCGAGCACTGCGTGGTACGTTTATGCATACCTAATGGTGCGTTTTGTGGTGATGTGTATTTAATATAATGGTGTGTTTTTTGGTGCATTGGTGCATTTTTTTTGTTGTGCATTTCTTAAAACTATTGGTGCATGTTTGCATAACTAATTGTGAGTTTGCACTGACAGCACGTTAAGACCTGAGAATGTGTAAACTAATCTCATACGTCCATCATGATTAAGGGCTGAAACCTAAGTAAAAATGCAGCAGCATTTGATTAATTAGGATAATCATTTTGAAACGTTTAATAGTGCATTCATGAATATCTGATAGTGTACTTAACTCTATAATAGTGGACTTACATGCATGTTTGCACTATTAATTATATATCTATGGATGCACTATCAAATGTACCATCTTAATTACAGAAATGTTATTGCATTTTTTCCTTAATTTACAACTGTTGATCATGTAAATAAACATATGAGACGAATCCATACATTTTCACAGGCTACTAGTTCTCACATGAGTGTTATATATATATATATATATATATATATATATATATATATATATATATATATATATATATATATATATATAGGAGGGGTTCAAGTGAAAAGTAAGCCACAGGTGAAAAGTGCGGGTGCATTTCAACCATTCATCAACTCATCTTTAAAAAAAATTCACTACATGCGAGCCACAACAATATGCACTGGAAGGTAAAAATGTGCACTATAAAGCACAAAAATATGCAACAAGTATTGAAAAGACTAAATTTAATACATGTTCTTCAACACAAACAAAAAAGATCACAATATTCAACTAAAATTAGTAATTAGTGATTCATTCAAGATCAAATACTCTTTATATATATATATATATATATATATATATATATATATATATATATATATATATATATATATATATATATATATATATATATATATATAACACCTACGATCTTAAAGGTTGAAGGCACAACATGTTGGAAAATATAGGCAACGTCAACGCGGGGGCTGTAACCTTTTAGGGAACAAGGACAAACCTAGGTTTATAATGGTAAGGGAGTCTGTGCCGTGTTATAATAACACTACCTTAAAAGCGTTATTTGCCCGGTGACGGTGCAGTCAAAGTAAACCCGGGACACTTTCGACAGGCAACACAGGATAAACTACGCTAAGCCTACACCAGCTTTGACGTAGATGAACCTCACTATTGCTCAGACTACGACTCAAAGAGATTAAAGAAACCGAAGATACAAGGATGAAGATTGAGCCCTTTGTTAACAATGTGTATAACCTTTATATAGTAAGGTCGCATACTATTACAACCACAATGTCATCCACGATTTGCGCTGCTTCACTCCTTCTCAAAGCACAACAACCACAATTAACTAATGAATTGGATTAGTGGCTTTATATTTGACTAAGAATTAGTGTAGAAAGAACACATGGTAAAGGATGGACGTTTGTGGTTTAATTTGGACTACACAAATCTTTCTCTCTCTCAGAATTTTCCAACAATCCCCCACAAATTCTGAGTTGAGACAAAAAGATTTGTTTAAGCTATTCAACAAGAAATGATGATAAAGTCTGAGCAATATTACAAACAAGTTGATCTTAATTTCAGTGTTTGAGAACTTGAACTAACACGTAGTGACATTGAGTAATTTTCTTCCCGAGAGTGATATAAATCTTGAACTCACCGGTTAGATAAATTTTGAACTCTAATGCACACACCAACTCTAAACGCAGGTTCTACGAAAGTCAAAATCTTTGACTTCTTATGAATACCCTTAGTATTCAAGTCTATTCTGTTTATCTCAATATAGACCTCCAACCTGTCAAAGTCTATCTCAACATAGACTTTTAATCTGACAAGTCTTATCGCATTTTAGACTTTTATGTCAAAGTCCGATCACTTTTGTGTCTGTCAAGTCTTATCACTTTTATGTCTGTCAAGTCTATCTCAATATAGACTTTTAACTCTACCAAGTCTATCTCAATATAGACCACCTTTAAAGGCTTATAGAGTAGTTAAAGACATAAATCAGTTGTAAGTCTTTTCTTTCTATCATAGGCATTGTTCTTTGCAATGCAAACGACAGTTTGTGAATCACAATTTATCAACATATTTCTTAGCCACTCGGCTTATTGGGATACCCCCATTATCTTTCATAAGAGGCAGTTAACCTTTTTTCACTCAAGTCAGTGATCTCATTAGGTCTACCTCAAAATAGACCACCCCAATTGAGTATAAATCATTATGAGCACTTTTGTACTCAAGCATTATGCGGTGAATTCGTTAAGTCCATCTCAATAGGACCACCCATCTCATAGGGCTATAAATTCATTAAGAGCCGTAGCTCAACCTCACAAGTACACACATTATAGGAATGATCATGATCGACCAATTAGTGTACTACTTTGTGATTCTTTTCATGGCTTCGTTTGGCCACTGAAGTGGGATCCACCATGAATTCATCACCTCATGGGCTTTAAGCCATTCCATCAATAATTCAACGACTAACCTCATAATTAGTCATCTCTATTAAGGTAAGTTGATCCTCTCGATCAAACTTACGATGAGTACTTTATTTACTCACAAATAATTCCCTTAAAATTTTCATGTTCAAAATGAAATATTCTCTTTTACCATTATTGTTGGTACCACAGAGAGTCTATATGCTTAATGATCATAAATTCGAATGAAGCAAATTGGGAATGGCACAGGAAGCTCAACCATCTAAACTTCAAGACAATTAATCAACTTGCAAAGAAAAATCTTGTTGCAGGTCTACCAGATATTGTCTTCAAGAATGACAAAACTTCCCCCACAATGCAACACTTACAAATATTTTTCTCAAAGGTATTTGATCTCTTACCCAAATTGATCTTTGGTGTCCAACATTAGCTCCTTTGTAGAGTGAGTTTTGCAAATTTGCTTTGTGAAACATTATAGTAGCCCTGCACTTTACCTGATACATACTCAATTGAATATAATTCAACAAACTTGGTTATCTTGAGTCTTGACCCATCATAATTACCCTTTAAACAGGAATTGTAGGTCTTTCAAGATGACTCAACCAAGAATTTAAATAATATATATAAATGCTCATTGTTTGTAAGCCACGGAGATAGTGTTGTCTATATGCTACTTCAAGTTGGACAACATAATCACAAATTTCACATAATATTCTTAAAAGAAGTTAATCTCATATGCAAAAAAATATGTTCAAACTGACATTTATTAGGGAATATATTTCAATACGGTGAATTCAACAAGTATAACTTTAATACTCAAAGTTATTCTACCTGCACAACTTTTCCTTCCCTTGAGGAAATTAAAAAAAACTCATATAAAGCATTCATATGATGCAGATCAATATTAATATTGCAATACTTCAACAATTTCTGTTGCAAGGCTTTGATTGTTTAACAACATATGAAAGTCAACATCATTTTAGGTGAAGATCAAGTGGCACATCTAGCCTGCATGATCAACACCCTACTTCTTAAAAACTCCCAGGTCGAGTGGTGAAATCGAAGTTTACTTAAAAACCATCTTCCTAGACAGAGTATTCAAGAAGGATGATTTTTCCATACTATCACCACAATGTGACTAAAGCCTTAGAACTTAGTCTCGGTACATAATTCAGATATTTAAGATTAAGTGACTGTAAAGCATATATGTATCTCATTAAATAGTGCAATGTTTGTAACATATCCACAATATAACACATAATGTTATAAATTCGATATATGCATAAGTACATAATTTATAAGCTTTAAATCAGATTGATGATTTAATCACTTAGCAGTAGTGTTAAATCAACATTCTAACACAACAAAATCATAAAGCTCATCCATGTGATGAATAATAACAATATTCACTTATCCTTGTGTACACCGCTGTTAATTTTCTCTATAATATTCAAAGCACTCACCATATCAAATATGAAATGGTGATTTCCAAAATGCTTGTCACAATATATATTTCACGTTTCAAATGCTCTCAAAGCATAATAATCAAATGGATGCAAAGATATAGACAAATCATCTTCTAAATTATGCCATTATGATAATTTAAAGAGAATATGGTCAATGCCCAATAATATATGACTACTTGTGCTCTAAATAATCATTTGCATATGATAGTCTATTATCATATAAATATGTATGTGTCATATTAAAATATGAGGAAACAAACCTCATCGGAGTATGGTCAAAGCTCCGATATGAACCTAATAATTATTTCTGTTGTACTCTCTTGCTTAAAAGATACACATAAGCCGAAGCAATGTGCTTCACCAGTATTGTTCTGTATGAAGCTGCTGCCTTCCGCAGCTAATCTATGTTGTTGCTTCACTATCATGTCGCCAAAAAATTATTATAATTTGCTACATGATTCGAGTAGTTGACTGATGCTAATATAACGCTTTTAATTGTTGGAAAATATAGGCAACGTCAACGCGGGGGCTGGCAACCTTTCAGGGAACAAGGACAAGCCGAGGTGTATAACGGTAAGGGAGTCTGTGCCGTGTTATAATAACACTACCTTAAAAGCATTATTTGCTCGGTGACGGTGCAATAAAAGTAAACTCGGCCGGGACGCTTTCGACAGGCAACACAGGATAAACTACATTGAGCCTACACCAGCTTTGACGTAGATGAACCTCACTATTGCTCAGACTACGACTCAAAGAGATTAAAGAAATCGAAAATAAAGATTATGAATAATTGATTCATTAATGAAACCACATGCAGCTATAAATAGCCTTACAAAGAGAGAAGATAGCTATCAGTTACAACAACTAGCCTAATAACTATTATACAGGAGTTAGACTAGGACTAAATATAATAACAAAAGATATCAGCCACACATATCTTTAACACGCCCCCGCAAGATTGAGGATCCGTCGGAGACTCCAATCTTGGAACGAAATTGGAGAAACAAGGACCGGCCCAAGGGTTTGGTAAGGAAGTCAGCTAGCTGATCTTTGGAAGGGATGTGCCGAACAACTAGTGAACCATTAGCAACCAAGTCACGAACGAAGAAGTAATCAAGTGCCAGATGCTTCATACGCGAATGGAACACCGGGTTTTTGCACACATAGGTTGCGCTAAGATTATCACAAAGCAAAAGAGGAGGCCTCACCAGCTGCAACCGAAGCTCACAGAGCAAATTCCGTACCCATAAGACTTCTGCAACAGCATTTGCCAAGGCTCGGTACTCAGACTCCGTGGACGAGCGCGACACGGACTTTTGGCGAGCGGACTTCCAAGATATGAGATTGGAACCGAGATACACCAAGTATGCGGTGGTGGAGCGGTCATCAGCAGTGCAACCTCCCCAATCAGCATCCGTATACACAGTCAGCGAAAGTGGTTGCCCAGCCCGGAGAAACAAGGCATGACAGACTGTGCCCTTCAAATACCGAAGCAACCGTTTAGCAGCCTGCCAGTGCAGCTCTGTAGGCGAGTGCATGAACTGTGAAAGATGATTGACCGCATAGGATATATCTGGCCTAGTGATGACCAGGTACTGCAACAAGCCGAGGAAACCCGAAACTGAGTGACATCAACCGGTGTAGAACCAGACGGTGCAGGTAGCAGCTTGTCCGAGGCAGCTAGCGGTGTTGAAACAACCTTTGCACCATCCATCTTAAACCGAACTAGAATATCTGTGATGTACTGACTTTGAGTCAGAAACAGTCCAGTTGACGACGGAACAACCTCAATGCCCAAAAGGTGATGTAAGGAACCAAGGTCTTTGAGCGCAAAACGAGCTGACAGAGTGTCAACAAAGAGATTAAGCCAAGCAACATCATTACCTGTTAAGATAATATCATCCACATACACCAGGAAATAAACTACAACATTATTAGCAGAGTAAACAAATAAAGAAGCATCTGCTTGTGACTTCACAAAGCCACACTGTAACAAGAACTGCGATAGCTCCAAGTACCAAGCCCTCGGTGCCTGCTTGAGCCCATATAGAACTTTAGTCAACTTGCAAACATGGGATGGAAACGAAGGATCCACAAACCCCTGTGGCTGCTCCATGAACACCTCTTCATGCAACGTCCCATGAAGAAACGCATTATTGATATCTAATTGGCGCAACGTCCAGCGGTTACTCAGGGCGACCGTCAAAACCACACGAATGGTCACCGGTTTCATAACCGGGCTATACGTCTCAAAATAATCCCGGCCAGCAGTCTGGAGGAACCCTTTGGCAACCAGCCGTGCCTTGTACCTGTCAACCGACCCATCCGGCTTGCGCTTGACACGATAATCCCACTTGCAGCCAATTGGGACAGCTGCTCCGCGGGGAACCAATTGCCACGTTTTGTTACGCTGGAGCGCTTCAAACTCCTCATCCATCGCTTTCCTCCACCGAGTATCTTTAAGAGCCTGGGCGACGGTAGTAGGTTCTAAAGTGGGAGGCAAGGGATGTGACGTGACGTGGTTAATGACATAATCGGAATACCTAGGATTAGGGCGACGCTCCCGAGTGGAACGGCGAACATTACTCAATGGTTGAGATGATTGAGACAACGAACTGGACGCAGCTGACGGTGATGGAGTCGGAACTGGTGTTGGAACGGGTGTTGGAACTGGAGATGGAACTGGAGATGGAACCGGAGTTGGAACTGGTGTTGGAACGGGTGTTGGAACAGGAGTTGGAACTGGAGATGGAACCGGAGTTGGAACTGGTGTTGGAACAGGAGTTGGAACCGGAGTTGGAACTGGAGATGGAACCAGAGTTGGAACTGGTGTTGGAACAGGAGTTGGAACCGGAGATGGAACTGGTGTTGGAACGGGTGTTGGAACTGGAGTTGGAACACCCATGACCTCCGCCTGTGTAGACAAAGGAGACGACCTGTACAAAATATTGCGTGATTCTGAACCATGGGAATCATAAGGTAAGACGTTAGACGAGTTTTGCAATTCATTATAAGGAAACACATGGGGAACAAACCTCACATGCCTAGATACATAAATACGGTTGGAACCAGGATCCATACATTTATAACCAGACTGAGTACTGGAGTAGCCAAGAAAGACACACGGGCGTGATTTGGGTTGAATTTTCTTAGTGTTGTATGGGCGTAACCACGGAAAACACAGGCAGCTAAAGGGCTGCAACTTATCATAGTTAGGGAACTGATGGAACAAAACATAAAGTGGAGATTTATTACCTAAGACCGGTGTTGGAAGTCGGTTAATAAGGTAGACGGCAGTTTGAAAAGAAAAGGTCCAGTACGAGGACGGCAGGGACGCAGTTTGAAGAAGGGACAAACCAGTTTCAACGACATGCCTGTGTCGGCGCTCTGCAACACCATTATGCTCAGGAGTATGTGGTGGGGTGGTAAAATGAGAAATACCATGATCATTTAGAAACGGTACAAGTTTTATAAACTCTCCCCCATTATCTGAGTAAACAGAAATAATCGAAAGGCTAAAAAATTTTTCCACTAATCTTTTGAACTGAGTAAAAATGGAAAACACATATGACTTACGCTTCATAGGGTATAGCCAAATGTATTTTGAAAAATGATCGACAAAGATTACATAATAGTGGAACTCATCAATAGATTTTTCAGTTGGCCCCCACACATCAGTATAGATTAATTGTAGTGGTTTAGTACTAACTAGAGTATTTTTTGCGAAGGGTAACTTATGACTTTTATGCATATTGCAGGACGAACAATAAAATTGTCGAAGAGATAACATAGAAACTGGAACATTACAGCGTTGTAACACAAGTTGCAACACCTTATTGGACAGATGACCAAGCTGTTGGTGCTATTGAGACAAACGCGACATTTGTGTAGTGTGTACTGATGGGTGAGAAGCAACCGGACCATAGTAAACACCATCATTGTTCACTCCCCGTAGTAGAGAAATCCCCGTTTGAAGATCCTTAACAATAAAGTGGGAATCAAAAAATTCAACAGACACACGATTAGTCTTACATTGTTGGGATATAGACACTAAGTTAGTGTGCAACTGAGGAACACGCAAGACATTTTCTAAGGTAAGACCAGAAGATGAAGTAGGAATGACAGACCGACCAATATGAGATATTTGTAGGGAATTACCGTCACCTAGGCGCACTTCATCAGGACCACTATACTCGGAGAGTGTCTGCAGCGACTTGATATTCGGGGTGGCGTGATGCGATGCTCCACTGTCAAACAACCAGGGTGGAGACGCCTGCGCAGAATGGGCTATAGGCGATGTAGAAGTCTGGGTAGTGACAACGTTGTGTTCCCTTAGGAACCTAGCCAGCTTGCGACATACCTTTGTTTCATGACCTGCAAAATTACAAAATTTGCATATAACCGTAGAGCGACTAGTCCCCCATTGTTGCCAAGACGTACGGTTAGTGCCGGAATTAGCAGTATTATTGTGATATTTCCGACCATAGTTCGATTGCTGGGTATTCCGGGAGGACGAGGTCCGCTGAGTGGCATTAGCTGTCGCCAATAGTGATTGGCGTGTATCATCAGCAACCTTTAACTGGCGTTCATGGTCAGTTAGAATATCCGCCAGCTCACCCCACGAGACGGGCGTTTCACGGACGCGGACTGCGGAGATAACGGAGCTGTACTCCTCTCCAAGCTGCGTCAACACATACACTACCAAATCTTCATCAGTGACTGGACACTGAGCAAGAGCAAGGTCATCAGCGATAGCCCGCATGTCAGTGAGGTACGCCGTAATGGACCGAGAACCTCTGGGATTTGTGGTGAGCTTTGCCTTAAGGGAAATGATGCGTCCTCGTGAGGCACTGGCGTAACTGGCAATGAGACGTTGCCATGCATCGCGGGCTGTTGTGGCCGAGGAGATGACCGGCTGGATTGTGTCAGTACAGCTGCCCAGAAGTGGACTGACAATAGTTTGGTCTTGGCGATACCAAACAGAATAACTCGGGTTAGCGACGGTGTTTGCGGAATCGGTGAACTTGGCTGGTTCCTTGATGGAACCGTCAACATATCCCAGGAGATCAAGTCCAACAAGAGTAGCGTGGACTTGCCGGCGCCATACTGGGAAATTTGCAGGTGTGAGTTTGATGGGGAAGTGTGTAGTAGCGTGAAGCTGGATGACTTCAGTGGTGGCCGGAGTAGTAGTTTGAGTGGTGGACGCCATTGAGTAGGAAGGAAGCAAGGGAGAGAGAAAAAAAGTTTCTTTCGTAGGAGATTTTAGGCTCTGATACCATATAAAGATTATGAATAATTGATTCATTAATGAAACCACATGCAGCTAT